GCTCGTATCAGGCACAGACCTTACTATTGGACTATACAAGAATGGTGGACAGAAACTTCTGGAGGTCATTTTGTCCATCCCTGCCCCTCGCTGAAGCAGGGCCATCTACAGCCAGTTGCTCAGCACCTTGTTCAGATGGCTTTTGAATATCTCCATGGAGCGAGATTCAGCAAACTCTCTGGGCAGCATGTGCCAGTGTTCAATCTCCCTCACAGTGAAAATATGTGTCCTGCTGTTCAGACAGAGGTTTCTGTGTTTCATTTAGCGCCCATTACCTCTGGTCCTGCCACTGGGCACCACTGAAAACAGCCTGGCTTCCCCTTCTTTGTGGCCTCCCTTCAGGTATTCATCTGCACCGAGATCCCCGAGTCTCTTCATCTCTCCAGGCTGAACAGTCCTAGCTCTCTCAGCTTTTCCTCACAGGACAGATGCTCATGCAATTTTCCCATGTTTAGATATAGTTATTTTGTCACCACTCAGTTTTCTCTTCTTCAGAATATACAGCTCCAAATCCCCGAGGTGCTTTTGGTTGGCCATTTCCTTGTCTTCTTCCCACTCTTGATGTCCTCTGCTCCCACCACAGCCTGCCGTCTATGCTATGGACACCACACCTCTGGAAGAGCAGACCAGAGTGGTACTTCTTTACATATCAGACTCTGATCTGTGCATGCTACAACAGCTGTGCCTTTTCTGTGCAGCTGGTCATGGGCAGTACGTGGCATGATTGTTCCTGCACATCTCAGCTTGCACCATCTCTGGCAGGTCAGGCTTTACTAAGGCTTTTCCGGCTGGGCTTTGCTGGTTCTAGGGGAAAACTTGGTATTTGTCCTGCTTGCCTTAGCAGCAGCTGGGTCTGTAACTCAACCAGCACAGCTGCAGATAAAATAAGCCTGTCTACACCTCTATGGAAGTCTTTAAGAACTCTAGAAAAGTGCAGGACAGACTTCCAGGTAACACCCTCTTTGTATCACTGCAGTATGACTGCTGGTAACTGACTTCAAGTAAGGTTTTCTGACTAGTTCTGCTCTCACTTAACAGCAGTTCACTCTATATTGTCTTTTCTTAAATTCGTTTTGAGAGTCTAATGTGAAAGAGCATGAAATTAAGATACTTAAGACACAGAACATCTGCTCTTTCTGTTCATTTCCTCAGGCCCTTTGACCTGATAATGAAGGACATAGAATTGGTCTTACCAACTCTGCATGTATTCAGGCAGCTGCAAACTGTTCAGTTACTTGCTGTAGTATTTTTCAGGAATCAAACTAAGGTTGTCCAGGCATAGGAGCAAATTTAAGAAGTCACAGGCTACTATCAAACATGTGTTTGCATTTGGCGCAAGCCCAGGTGGCCCAGAAGCCCAAAGGACAGCCTTGCAGCCAGGAGCAATGAGGTAGATGGGACAGAGTGGATGTGAGCAGCGTTGCTGACATCTGGTGATGAGCTGGAGGAACAGAGCAGGGCTGGCAGGCCCCAGAGAGCATCTTTATACAACAGGGGTGTGCTCCCCCACATTTCACCTGCAGAGGATGGTACCCCAGGAGCATCTGCATCTGCCGCAGAGTGTCTAGATGAAAACAGACATGCAGGAAGCATTTGGAGTCATGCTCCTAATGGTGAGATACCAGAAGCACTCCGCACCAGGAGAACTGCTCTAGGGCCAAACCAGCCCCTGGAGTCAGTCCAGCAGAGCTTTGCATGGGGCTACTCAAAGACTGCTGTGAGTCAGAGACCCTCATCAGGTGGATTGTCCTCATGTGCTGGTGGACTGGTGAAAGGAGTTTGCCTTTGTGTGTCACATCCAGCCCTGAGGGCTGCATTTGTGCACTTGGCAATGCACAAACACTGCCCAGTCCTACAGGGTGAAATTGCTCAGTGCTTCTAAATGGCTGAAATCTCAAAGCTAAAGCTTGTGAGAGGAACTGAATAAGAGAAAATATTTAAATAAAATTATAAATTAGCATCGCTGTTTATTTCATAATGTCTATTTCAGAAACCAGTGCAGGCAGCAAATTCAGAGCCAGGAAGCTGATAGAGCCAGTACAAACCAGTAGTTACAAAATGAAGGGAACTAAGGGGAAGTCACAGATATCCATGAAGTACCAGTGAAGCGGGCAGCACTGTCAAGGGAAACATGAAACTGTTTCATTACCCTGAGGCCAAACACAGTCCCAGCTGTGACAGAGGCCAGTGTTAGACCAGTGTGGAAGAGTGACAGGACTATGGATCATAGATCTGTAATTAAGCAGACTGATTTCCCTGGGACTTGGGCTGAGCACCATGCAGGATAAATTCTGGTCTGGGCTAGGGCAGATCTTCCAGTGATTTTTAAAAAAGCCAGAGATAAGAAATCTACATCCACCATGATAAGCTATTCTAAGATGCAATTAACTAGTAGATTAATTACCCTTTCTATTAAAAATGTGTCTCATTTCTAATACGTATTTTTGCAGTTTCAATTTCCAGCCACTGGATCTAGTTTTACCTCTAAGTGCCACTCAGAAGAACTGGCAGCGCTGAACAAACCCTGCAGCTGGCCCCTCAGAAAGCTTGGGGAGGCACAGCTGAGTACCAGCCGTGGAGGTCAGCATGGCTGTGGAGCATGTGTTTAGCTCACATGCCCACGGTGCTTCATGGAAGAATGCTGCCAATCCTTCCTGCCCTGTAAAACCGGGACTGAAGAACAGGTGCCTACAACTGCATGCAGGACTCCAAAGATCAACCCTGGTGTGTCCAACCATGGCTGCTCCAGCAGCAGAGAATCCAAAGAACTGCACTTGCTGGGCACCTGCCCAGGTTTCTGTGAGTAAATGTATGTTCTGCAGAATGAAACCCAAGAACTCAATAGGTATTTCTTCTCTGTATTTGAAACAACAGTGGATAATGGATAAAATACTCGTATTTTACTGTGGTAACAAAATACTATTCCATCAGTAATTAAGAAAGATGTTAAAGAAAAACTGTTTAAATAATAATTATTATAATCTGCAGGAGAATAACTTACAGCCAAGAGGATTTATTTGGCTAATGAGTTCACTGAACCATTGATTTTTTTTCTTTATAACAAATCGTGGCACACTGGGGAACTTGAGATAACTCAGGGAAAAAAAAATCCAGTTCTTGTCGGTATCTGTGTGTGTTCACACAGATATGGGGGAAACTACAGAGCAGTCAGTTCAACAAACATCCCAAGCAGTCGCAGACAAGCAGCCAAGGGATGCTTTCAAAATCAATTGCCAATCGATTAGCATAACTGAGTTAAACTCAGAGCATCTGTTCTCAGTCTGCACTTAGCTTTAACTTTTCTGATTGTTTCAGTTCTGAAAAAGGGCTTAAGTGCCCAAAAACTTTTCTGATGAGTTTTTTCTTTCTTTGGTTCTTTGTCCCCCAGTCAAATCAATCAGTCTGTAAAAGGTATTCCCCTTTTCCTACTAGCCTCACATTCCTTGAAAATGGTTCCTCAGCGGTATCCTTGCATCAATGAAATCACACCCTTGTAAGTTCAGTGGGCATACAGATGAAATCTGATCTATGAAGATGTGTGCCCAGGGATGGCTTGCCCTCTCAGCCACCTGCCTGACCTCAGCCTTCCCACTGATGCTGGGATCCCCTGCCTGCAAAGCTGGTAGCTCTGAAAGGAACCATGGAAACTCACCTGCAGTCCCAGCACAGGAGCTTCACTGAAACAGATGTCCATCTATGCTAAGACCTTTGTCCAGAGAGGAACTGGCAGTGCCAGGAGCTGGCCTGCCCACATATGCAGTGTCATTGCGTGCCCCCGTGTTTGCAGAAACTAAACACGGGAGATTCACCTCTTCCAACCTGAGCTACCCTCAGCATCCAATTGCAGAACAGGCTTCAGAGCTAACAAAAGTAATCAGCAGGACCTGAGGCATGGCTCTAAGTCTACCAGCTGCAAGAAGCAATTACAAAATAAAGCAAACGATTAAATTAAATCCTTCCCTGTCCTTAAGGTGATATTATCTTAATGGCTGAGTACCCATTACTAAACGTAAGTTATTGTAGGCACACGGACAGTGCTGGAAGTAAGGAAGAATGGTAAACCAGCCCCACATGTACTGCTCCATAGACTGCCTTCCTACCAGATACCCATTGAGACTAAAGCAGTCCCAGACCATGCTGCCACCAAAAGGGACAGACCCTCCTGTTTTTTTGCTCCTCCTCCACTCACAGACATGTGAACAGAGAAACAACGTGTAGTGCTGTCTTCACGTACCTTCTGCCAACTAGTCAGGCACATCTGGAGTCAGGAGCAGAGTTGTCTTACAGCAAATCTTTAAAGGCTGGTTAGTGCTTTGGTTTCTTTACAACTGCTTCTTTAAATGGTAGGAACAAACACTACCCTTTACCTTGTCTAGAGTGTGGTGGAGCCCAGGCAGCAGTGTGTGGACTTGCACTGTACTCTGGTAGATGCTGACTGCACTGGGCCCAGGAGACCAGCACTGTCAGGACATGCTTCCTCCTCGCCCCACATCAAAGTCCCCAGTGCCAGCACAAACACTGCTGTCCTGCCCTGAGCTGCAAAGCCAGGCAAACCCAGACATTGAACCTGCATGAGAAGCGTCTGGGTGGGAGGCCTCAGCCCCACACTCACCACACATTTCTCTCTGTCTCCTGAGAAGCAGGTGGATGTGTGGGTCTGAGAGCGCACATGCCACTACGTGTGGCACATCACATGGTTAAGCTCTGTCAGGACAGCCTTCAAAGCAAGGCAGAAATCATACTCTGGTAGGTATAGAGCAAGACTAGGGTTTATTCCAAACAACTTCGGGTACAAACCGTAAACAACTTGACTAAAGACAGGATCTTAATAAATGCCCAGGGAATAGAGCTGCATCATTCAGGTTAGGGATTGTAGACTTGAGATAGGGAGGCCAATATGCTATGACTAAAACTGTGATCAATGCAGTGTATTTGCTCCTTGTCCCTCAAAACACCCTAATCCCCATATTTTGCTTTTCCTACTGAGTCTGGAGTTTGTCCTGATTAGTGCGGGTAAACAGAGTGCTCCAAAACAGGCGCATGAGGCAGAACACAAGTCTGCCTGTGAGAGGGACATAGCAACAGGCTTGGCTTGGGGGGCTGACATGGCCTGGCAGGAGGTGTGTGCGAGTGGAAGGAGTTAGCAGGGAAGGCACAGTTGGCACCGCAGGGATGGAACATCTGCACAGAAAGGCAAAGTAGGACTGGAACCACAGTCCTCAATAGAGAACATCCTCGAAGCTGAGCAGCAGGAAACGGTGCAAGGCACTTGGCAGGTGCAGCTGGGACAGAACTGGAAGCAACCGGCCCTCCAGGAAGGTCCTGAGTGTGCAGCGAGCCAGATGCTGCAAGGAGCGAGGTCTTCGCTCCAGGGAAAAGAGTGACTGGTAGAAACGTGGGTATTTCTGCAGAAAGAGAAGAGAGGACAACACACAGATAAAGCTAAAGATACCACCCTGGCAGCAGAAGTTGAACCAGATATCCCTCTACCTTAGTCACTATGGTGAAGTAGTGTTGTCAGCAGGATTTAGGAAGTAATAATCCCCCTGTTCTCAGCACTGGTGAGGCCACACCTCAAATACTGTGCTCAGTTCTGGGCCCCTCCTCACAAGAGAGATACTGAGGTGCTGGAGCATGTCCAGAGAAGGGCAACAAAGCTGGTGAAGTATCTGGAGAATAAGGCTTATCAGGAGCTGCTGAGGGAACTGGGGTTGTTTAGTCTGGAGAACAGAAGGTTCAGTGGGGACCTTATTGCTCTCTACAACTGCCTGAGAGGAGGATGGAGCAAGGAGGTTGCTGGTCTCTTCTCTACAGTAACTAGTGACAGGACAAGAGGTCATGGCCTCAGGCTACTCCTAGGGGAGGTTTAGATTGGATATTAGGAAACATTTCTTCACCAAAAGGGTGGTCAGACATTGGAACAGGCTGCCCAGGGAAGTGATAGAATCACTGTTCCTGGAAGTGTTCAAAAACCGTGCAGGTGAGGCCCTCAGAGACATGGTTTAGTGGTAGTCCTGGGGTAACGGTTGGACTTGATGATCTTGAAGATCTTTTCCAACCTAATTGATTCTATGATTCTGTGATGCTTCCTCCCTATCCCCCAACAGCACCACCCCTGTGCCCTGCAAATCTCCACCCAGCCGCAGCCCTGTCCCAAACTTCCCACAGCCCCAAGGCTCCTCTGGCACCCTGTCACAGTAACTCAATGGCAGGATGCATTCCCTCACCTGGACAACCTCTGCTGGAACTGCCTCCACCCAGTCCTCAGAGACACGCACATGGTCATAGCTGTTCATCAGGGCCTCGATGACACGCGGGCAGGTATGGCAGTACCGCAGCACCTGTGCCAGGGAGAGAGCAGGTGAACGCTGCCTTTGGGCAAGGTCCTCAAGTCTTACCTTCACCTTCCAAAAGCTGCTCAAAAATAGCCTTGGCAAATCTCAGGAACTAATGTCCTTCCCTTGTGTTGCCCCACGAGATCAAACCCACAACGATGGTGGAAAATGCCAGAGCACCACTCCCGTGACTGAGTGTAACTGAGCCAACCCCCAACATGAGCAGCATGATTGCATTCAGCACAACTGGGTGCCTACAGCCTCTTCTTGGATGCAGGGGTTAACATACATGGCGGGGATGCAGAACTTTGTCTCACTGCTGCAAGTAGCTTGCAAGCAGCCAACAATCTGCTTCACACCAGGCTCTTTCCCTCACATTTTTTCTAGTTAGAGCACAAGCCATTCTGGGGCAAGGACTGACACTGATCTTGTGGGCAGCAAGACTAAGGCATACTATGCCTCTGTTGAGGGCTACACGGGGGTCTCAGGGATGTATTATGCCTGTTTAGCGTGGAGCTACAGAGACATCCAGGATCTGTGCTGTGTGTAATGAATGTTCTAGGAAATAATGTGCTCATGTTAGCTGTGACACAGAGCCCCAGGAAGACATCACACATCTTGTGTAACACGTCTCTGGTGTGTACTGTGTCTGTGTAAACACAAGCAGCATGCTGGTGCTCTGTACCTTACACCACCCATGTGGCCTTTGGAGCACACCCCACCCATGCATAGCTGTACAGAGGCAGATCTCCCCCGGCTCTTGGCTCCCACTCCCCATGGCCCAGGCCAGCAGTAGCTGTCAGAGTCTATTCTGGCTGTACGAGTGATCCTCATTATCTGGCGTTAATAGGAGATTAATTAGTGTTAATTGTTGATTTTCCTGTATTTTCCCAAAGGGGAGAGCAATCTGCTGATCTCCGGGCTGAGTAATTATTGCACTGCTCAGGAATTAAGACAGAAAATTAACCCTCTGTTTACTGGTGTTTTGCAGAGGCAGCATGAGCTGGAGGGTATGGCCCAAAGAAGAAACATGCCCAAGAGACTGAACATCTTCCTGGGCAAGTGATTAAGGAAACTAGTAAGTACTGTCCACACAGCTTAGCAGACGGAAGTGGGAGAGTCCTACAGGAGAACATACCCCAGAAGAAAACTTCAGAAAACCCCTTCCCATTAATGTCAATTTCCCCTCCCACAGCCTGTGGGAAGAGACAAGCAAGCAGGCTGGCAGAGAACAAGCCCTTCTGCGACAGAAACACCCTTGCTCTCACTGGAGCGCTAATGTTCACATTCTCCCTTTCCCACCATGCTCCTGCATGGCTGTGAGCCCCTCACCTTGAGAAGAGCACCAGGCCAGATGCGGATGGCACCGTAGTTAAGCAGGGCTTGCACCACAAGCTCTGGGTGGTGGTCTAGCTTGTAGGCAGCTGCTTGCAGGATATTGTGCAGTGCCGTGTTGCCGCTGTAGTTCATGACGTTGACGTTTGCACCCCGGGCCAGCAGTAACTCTGCTATTTGAGCATTGGCATTCTTGCAGGCCAGATGAAGTGGGTGCTGACGGTCCCTATCTGCAGCATTGATGCTAGCACCACTCTCCACCAGCAGCTGGCAGACTTGGTAGTAGCGGTCCATGTCCTGGGGCTGATGGGGCTGAGCACAGGCAGCATTCAGTGGTGTCTGCCCCTCCTCATTCCTTGCCTCCAGGTCTGCCCCATGGCGCAGAAGCAGCTGGACATGGTCTGTTAGGCCATGCCGTGCTGCTATATGCAGTGCTGTGTCGTCTTCCTCCTCTGTCCGACTCTTCACACTGGCTCCATGCTGCAGCAGCTGCTGCACGCACCTATGTGGGCCAAGATGACTCAGTGACAGGCTCTCCTGTCCAGCTATACTACCTCCCATCCCCTCCCCACCCCTTCCCTCCCCATGTCTCTACCATCCTAGGGCTTTTACTTTTCCCAGAAGCCCAAAAATTCCTGCTCCTCATGCCCTGGAGCAGTTTTAAGCAGATGACTGGTGAGTGGAGATACCATCATCCTAATTCTAGTTAAGTCTTCACAGATGTGTAATACAGTGTTGTTACACCCAGAGTCTGCTCCCACACACCCACATCAGCCTGCATGCATAGTGCGTGCCCTGAGCTTCAATGTGAACCATCAGCTCTGTACTGCTGGTGGGTAGCAGAACAGCAGCACCAAACTCAGCTGCATCAGCTGAAGAGTACAGCTTGCACTGATCTATTGGACTTCAGAGGTGATGCTGGTCCTGGAATAGGCAGTAAGGCCATCCCATTCAGCAGCTGTTGCTGTAACCACCACCCCACCTGCAGGGATAAGCAGGGTACACTTCTACAAAGGATAAGGCTTGAGGTGGGGAGATCCACTGTGCCCCCTCAGCAGAACTCACTCGATGGAGTCTGGGCTCTTGCAGAGATGCAGGGGCTTGTAGCCATCCTCGGAGACAGCCTCAGGGTCAGCACCAAAGCTGAGTAGCAGGCGCACGCAGTCTGTGCTGGCCGCTGCACAAGCCTCATGCAGGGCGGTCTTACCCCCTGGTGCGAAGTTGACGGCGGCACCCCTGATTAACAGGAGCCGCAGGCAGTCTGTGTAGCCCCGGCTGGCTGTGATGTGCAGCGGTGTGGTGAGCTCCTGCTCATAGCTCAGAGACCACAGTCCTGCAGGGAAAGAGACGTCAGGGGGCTGCGTCCAGCCACACTGCACAAAAGCACTGGGTCCAGACCTGCCCTTTCCCCCAGGGTACCTCATATACACCCACCCCCCCATCCCCCCCCCCCCGAGAGACTCGGGTTTCCCCTTAAGGGACTGCCTCTTTGTGACAGTCTCTTCTCTGCAAGGTCCCTGCCTTTTGACTAGCCTGCCAAAGGCAAAGATCTGGGGATAGCGCCTTACACTGACTGCACAGCCGTGCTGATGGGGAGCTCAAAGGAGCAGCTGTGCCTTGGGCAGAGGCTGTTCCCAGGAAGTATGCTTCTCACCTGCGACTCAGTCATGCAGGACAGGGGTTGTGTTGACAGGAGTAAAGCAGATAAAGCGCCTGGGGCACAGGCAGGGCTGAAAGCAGCAAGGTGGCTGGGAAGAGCACCAGGTGTGAAGCACCGCAAACACAAGGAACCAGACAGTAAAACAAGCAGGCTGACACACACAGAGGAGATTTCGACAAGCTGTGAGCATGGTGCAGACAAGAAAGCTTCAGCAGAGATGGACATCTAGGGCTTAGGAGAGAGCAAAGGGCTGAAACATGCAAACTCAGCAAAGATGCTGGAACCATTGCTGAGCTGGTGCAGTCTGCTGGCAAACGGCCTGCAGCTGTTAAAGAAAAAGGTCTCCTTAAATCATGTTTCTTGCTGCCCAACCAGGCTAGGGTGGAGAACCAAGTCCCACACTTCATATGTTCAACACTACATCGCTCTCACCTCTTTCTCGCAGAAGCAGTATGCAATCAACTGTGTTTCCCAGGGCCAGGTTCAAAATGAACTACCTCGAGGACCTAATGCAGGGTTGTGACAACTCCTTGGTCAGCACAGCCCACAGAGAGACGAGCAGCAGAGGCTGCACACAGACAGAATAGGCATACAGAACCTGGTTACAGGGCTGGTCACAGAAGGAGCACCACCTGGAGCTTGAATCTCCTCTGCCAAGTGGGGGAACCCAAGCAGCTTCCAAGCACTTGCACAACCCCTGCTAGAAGAGGCAGGTATCCTGGATCACACTCCTGAACACATAAACACTCTCCCGTAAGCAGCACAGGGGAGCCCAACTACATCCTAGTGCTCTCACTCCCACCCTCATTCCTCCATAATCCAATAAGCACCCATAACACACAATCCCAGCAACAGGAATGCCCTGCAGCATAAGCAAAAGGCTCTGAACCCCTGTTGAGGTGTGGTACTTGCTGCCTGCCTGCTGCCCCCTGCATACTCAGCCAGCGGATGTTGAAGCGGTAGTTCTTCCACTCTTCCAGGTCACTGGTGTCAAACACTGCACTGGGACTCAGGTTGTTCTGAGAGTTGCTGAGGATCTCGGCCACAACCTCCTGATCTCCAGTAAGCAGGGCCTGCCAGTAAGTCTGGGCAGGGCCATCCACCTTCTGTATACAAATGGGCTCCTGGCTCTTGCCTCCTCTGCCTCTGATGCTGCTCATGATGCAGTACGCAGACCCTCCCAGACACCAGGGCAGGACGTGCTGCTGCTGCCTCCCCGGCCAGGGTCTGAGCCTGTGGGTGCAGCCCCACTAGTGTGCCGTGCCCCAGTTGATGGGCTGCCTGCCTGCCTGCCCTGGGGCACTATACAAGGAGGTCAGACATGCCACAGCACTGTTTGGCCCAGGGTGGGTACAGCTCAGGTCTCAGCTCTTCTATTCTGGGAAAGCTTGTGACAGAATGTTTGGGCCAAGAGGCTGAGAAGGACAATCCTCTCAGGCAGCAGTATCCCTACAGTCACTGGTTGTGAAGGGAAAACTCTTAGGCAGGGCAGGGTAGAAGGGTAGCATGAAGGGTAGAAGGGTAGCATGAAGGGTAGAAACAGAGGCATGACATCACTAAGAAAAGAGAGGAAAGTAGTCTCATGTCCCGCTAGTCTTCTGTCACCCAGCTGTTGCTCAGAACACAAAGCACAGCTGCTGCCATAAAACAGCAGCACAGCTCTGTCCAGCCTGTGGCTCCTTGCACATCTCCAGCCCCAAACACACACTGGTTTGCTAGTTCCACCTTAGCCCTTGGCACTAGACAGGTTTTTAAACAAGCTAAAGGAAAGTTCATCTTAATCAAAGCTTAAAGACAAAGGACTTTGAAGACAAAGGCAGAAATATGTACAAGGATGGGAAACAGTGAAGTAAAAACACAGAAGGTAATTGTCCTTTAGACCCCTTCCTACTTTTCCTTGAAATTCAGCTTTACAGAGCTCCTGCATTGTTTTAGTACTCCTTTTCCAATCCTTTGACACTTGCCTCACTCAGGGTTCTTCACTGCTGTCCTTCACCTGAAATGGCATTTTCTCCTGTCCCTACCGGGTTGTATAAACCCACCCTGCCCCTACTTTTGTTACAGAACAGCACGCTTTGCTCAGCGTTTGTCAGCATTGTGTGCGTGTTTTGTTCAGACCATATGTTTTAAGGAACACACCAAACTGCATGGAAGGCTAGTAGTGTTTAGTTCAATTCTGTGGTGTGGAACTATTCAGATCATACAGCTAAAAACAAGTGACCCCAATAGATCACCAAGCAACAATTACCTGGAGGACCAGAGAAGAGTGTGAGATAGGGAACTTTATCCTTCTCAGTAATGAAAATAAATGAGCAAGTTCTGTACTGACAGTCTCCAGCATTCTCTCTCTGTGCTGACTTCACCATCTTGTCTAGCTAAAATGTAGTGGATGAAAAAATAAGGAGGGAAGCACCAGGCAGACTTTCTCACTGTTTCTCCAAAGATATAAGCTGGTGTCCCATGAAGAGTCTAAGGTTCCCAATCACATACACATCACCAGGGAGGCAAAAGGCTGTGTGAGTTAGCGTCAGTAACACATACAATGTACACTTCCTCTGGGCTTCTTAAAATATCAGTAGGGATGACTTGGGAAACACCAGGTCACTAGTGTCTACTTTAAGGTCACTGGCTGGCTAAGTTTTAAGAAACTGTCCCTATAGGCCAGTGAGATACAGAACCAAATCATGAAGGTTTCTTTGGTTGTTGTTCCATATCCTTATCTGACAAATTTGGCAGTACATTTTTGGTCTGTTTAGCTTGATGAATAATTTTGGTTGATTTTTTACGTCTTGAAACCTTGGTGGTAAGAACAATTTCTGTCTAAAGTTGTTTTACATCAACTGCTCTGATAGCCTTGGGACACTAATGTTTACAAGCAGACTGACTTGCTGTTCAGGTGTCTGCCAGCCCAGTATAAGACAGGAGTTAAAATGTGCAATTAGTATTTTATTGACAAGTGGTTTCAGTTACACAAAGGGCAATCAATACCTTTTGTATTTTTATTCCTAAAAAGACTGTAACATTTCAAAACGTGGGTTGTACAAATCTTGTAAGTCAGTAAATAATCTTCACCACTCACAAGCAGCCGCACTTGCACATGCAAGCTTGCACTATCTGTTTGTCTCTTGGCAGCGTGGATCCCCACACAAAACACTTGGCCATGGTCAAGCTTTATCAATGTGCTCCATAGCTTTGTGGCAGGACACTTAAAAAGAGCACACACCTCTGGGAAAGTGGCCTTTGTCAACAGGTCTTCCATTCTGGCACAGAGGGGTTTTTGTCACTAACCTTCTATGGAAAAGAATGGTGCATTTATGGCCCCCCTACACCTGACAGTCTCTGTCTTAAATTCTGGATGTCTGCCTGCACCACACGGCTAACAGACAGTGGCAAGGACAACTGCACTTTCAGACTACTAATCTGTCTACTACCACTTCTCTGCTGTTCTCAAAGCATGTCACAGCCTCCAGTTTCTAATGAGCTGGAGTAACAGACCCAACTTAAGACACATGGCAAGAAAAGCATCCTTATGCCACCTGATGCATTCTCACCCAAGCACTGCCTCCATCTCACTCATATTTCACATCTGTCCCAACAATTTCTAAGAGCACAGCCCTGACGTTGTTCCTCTCCAGCAGCACTTTCAAGGGCCCTATCCTCACCAGCAGTTTGGCCACCTTCAACAAGACCGCTACCATTTGTTCAAAGGCACTGGAATCCTCCTTCCTCAACCAAGAGCCATTCTTCCTCAGTCCCACTTCCACCACCCTGCTTCCACCATTGGGGATTCCTCTCAACACTTTTCTCAGGCATCAGCACTCTTTCTCTGGTCCCCAGCCTGGGCACTTTACATTCTCCCATGTCCCAGCCCTGCACACCCACCAAATTTCTTGCTAGTCCAGCGTAGCTCACCACCCTTGGTCTCAATGATGAGGTTGATGGCTGCATCCTTGGTGAAGTACTTCTGCATCATCTCCAAGTCCCCAGTGAAAAGCGCATTCTGAACCAGCAGATCCCGGCACTCCAGTGGCTCCAAACGGCTGTTCTGGCACCTCTGGCTAGCTGGGCTCAGGCTGTGCTTACTGTGGGAGTACCGGCGCATTACATGCCGAGAGTATTTCCACTCATCCTGCTGCCCCCCATCCATTTGCAGGAAGCGTGTGGTAGAGCTGAAGGGAAAGATGCAGTCCATCACAGGGGGTAAACAGGGCAAGTCTGAACTATACAATAAACAAGCTGCTGCAGGCAACAGCCTCTTATCCAAGGCTGTGTCCTTTGCAGGTTACTCCTGGGTTCCAGCTTCCCAGTGTCTGGCTGGATTCAGGAATGGCCTGACTCACCCATTATAAATAGTCATGGTTGGCAGCTCCCGTTCATCACCTCCTTCCAAGAGATTATTTTCAGCTGCTGGATGCAATCACCAGCACACATTAGGTACAGGAGAAGGGTAGCAGGCAGCCTTGAAACACTCTATGTGCTTGCTTGTTTGCTCTGCAAAGTCTCTGCTCTGCACTATTCTCCCACTTGGAATGAAACAGAGCAAGGCCACAGTCCAAGCACAACTATGGAGACCTCTCCAGCCTCACTCACATGTGGTGGTCTTCGCCATGCTCATCCCACCATAGGTATATCCATACACACATCCCCAGTGGCCTTTCTCTTTGGCACACAAAGTCCTCCCAAAACCTCTCCCCACTCGGTGGTTTGTGCTCTTCTGCACAAAGTGGCCAAAACTGACAAAGAGCTGTTCTGTCCCAAAACAACACGTACAGAGCTCATCAGAACTATCCATTAACTTATTTTTAATTTCCCCTTTCTCATCTCTCCCTTTTACTTCCTTCACTTCTGCCATCTCTTATACTGCCCAGAGCCACCTTTTACCCAGGGCTTGCTTCATTTACCAGTTCTGTAGAGAGAGCAAGTTTGCAGGGGGTAAAAAAAAGCTGCAAAGGAGGGTCACAGCCCAGAAGATAGAAATGGGTTTAGGGCAGGAGAAACAACTGGCCACTTCTCCAAAGCACAAAGGAAATGGGACAATCAGGCTGAAACCAACTGGAGAGGGACAGGAAAAAGCAGAGGAGACAGGATGAATTACCTACAGACTCCACCAGGCTCCTTTCCCTGTAGATGGGATCCACCTTGCTCAGCAGCTGTAGGAGCTCACATACCTTGTTACTAACAAAGTCATCTGTATAAACTACAAGCCTACAGATGTAGTATATGGCCAGGCCTATCAGGTCAGAGACTACCCAGTAAAGCATGATTTAATGCAGATATTAGCTAGTCATATACACTAACCTGGATGTATTAAATGCTGCCACTTTCAGAAGGTCCCGATGACACATAGTAGGCTACTGGAGCCCATACTTGCGCTTTGTTTTCAAGTCTTAAACTATTAGCTCCTCATTTTCTACCTTAAGCATTAATAAACCCTGGTTTTGCTTTACTGTTAAACCTGATGGGTATACAGAAGCTGCTGTGCTAGATTGAAGTCAAAAGCAAAGTACACACCTCTTCAATACAGTAAATGAAAGGAAAGAGGTTGCTGAAAGAACTTGCATCCTGATTATAAGGGAGAACAAGCAGCTAGATCCTGCTAGTCTGCAAAAGGGCAATGCAAGTGGAGCCAGCAGCTACTGTTTTGGGAAAGCCTTTACTCCAGCAAGCACAAAGAGTCCCTCCTGTAAGCCAAGGTAGCAGAGAGAGACGTGATGGACCTTCAGACCAGGCTCTAAGGAAAGAATAAGCAGAACGTGTGTGATCCTCAAGACAACATTACTGAACTGAAGCCCTCATTTACAAGTAGGCCATGAGACATGGGGACTGGATTAGAGACTCTCATGTGAGTAAAGTTGTCCCTCAAACATTCTTCAGGGCTGTTCTTACACAGCAGCACATGGGTTGGAGTGGTAACCAATCTTAGTAACACTTCTGTAGTGCTCAGGAGCAACTTGCTATGGCAATAAGTCATTCAGAAGAGCTTTCCAGGCTCACTTCTGACACAAGCAAGCCAGCTTCTCAGGAAAGAGGGCCTGCTAAGGACAGCACGTGGCAGGGATTGTGAACTGTGTTATTAAAAAAACCTAACCCAGCTGGAAGGCAAGTTTGAATATAGAAGCTGACAGCCCATCAATCTCTCTCTCTGGATCTCACCTGCTTCCTCATGGAAGGCCTTTTACAAAACTAATGCTCATTATTTCCAAACCAGACTACTGACAGCTGCAGCAACTTCGCTAGCTGTGGTGTCAGAAGCCTGGAGTCAGGAGTACAGGGGTCTGAAGCGGGGAACATCGGCAGAGGCATAGCCCAAACAGCCAATTTCAGGTGAGCCAGCCGCACATCCACTCACAGCCTTGTTCAGTTTGCTGGCCATGCATTCCTACCCATTGTGCCTGAAACACTGGGCTGTCTTCCTGACCTTACTGCAGTCGCCTTTGCTTTGTGTGGCTTCTCATCTTCCTGGTCTAGTGCCACATTCAGGATCTGTGGTTCCTCTTCCAAGAGCTCATCATCAGCCTGGAGAG